GTACGTATTTCATTGTGCCCGTATCCGTTGCCATGTTAGTTTGTCAGTTGCGGTTTGTTCTCATTTGTTACGATTTGTTCAGTGTTGACAACTCCATTAGCCATCTCTAATGTGCTAACGACAGAACAATTAAAATGAAATAAATGTTGTATTATATAATTTTAAACATTATTAGCTGTCGCCCGCAACTCCGTCTGCGCGGAATTAAAAAAAAGTTAACATTTAGGGGGATGAAAAATAGGTGTTAGCCGATTCTCAGACCTAATTAATATGCTCACAAAATTTCAATCGGTCAAGCCATTTCGGAGGACTATGGGAACGAAAATTGTGACACGAGAATTTTATATATAAGATTAGTTAGAATCATTTGGCGCAAATGGCGCACTTTCGTTACTAAGTCAAGTGACAGATTGATCAGTAAAGGAACATAAACATTGACATGTTAATATGGCCAGTGTTGTGCAGATACACCGGTGTAGTGTCGGATTTTCAGAATAATTTTAATTAATTTTTAAGAACAATTAGGTTATATAGCCATTTTTTTAATCGAGCAAAAGAATGTGGTGCACCTGACAATTATTGACTGCTAGCTGTCGCCCTCGATTCTGTCCGCGCAGTATTAAAAAAAATATTATTAGTAGACTATGTGTTTTTCCAGACTATCTTCTACATCTATGCGAAATTTCAGCAATATCCATACAGTAGTTCTGGAGATACCTTCAAACAAACATCCAAACATTCGCATTTATAATATTAGTAACATTGTTATCCATAGTCTTAGAATATATGTGGCGAATATTAATTAAGATACATCTATCTCTTATTTTCTGCGTTAAACAAAATTTTTGTTACACTCTCATGAAAGTAGTCACGAAAATCTTTGAGTTAATTCAGACAAATGTTTGTTGGAGAATTTTCACACCTGTTCCCGCGCAATGTGTCTCCGTCTCTGGAGATTACAGAGAACTATGGTAACAATTACTTACACTCTACTGTTATTATGGTGTCTGATCAACTGTTCATCGTAGATACCTTATTTATATTATAAATGTAAACATTTGGATGGATGCATGTATAGCTGATTGTTACCTGGTAAAATCCTAAAGCATCTAGACGAAATTTGAAGAAATATTACAGTTAGGAACGCATTTACTATCTAATTACTCATTTATTTAATTAAACACAGCTAAAATACTAAAGCAAGCAAATACAGCGGTCTAGGCTCCAAATATGAATTTGTTCCATTCGGCGTCGAGACCCTTGGTCAGTGGGGTCTTAGCGCTTTAAAGCTTTTTATGGAAATTTCAAAAAAGTAAATCGACATCTCAGGCAACCGAAGAGCTGGCAGCGACGTCGGACAAAGTATTAGTATAGCTATTCAAAGGGGGAACGCTGCCAGTATCTTCAGAATCTTGCCTAAAGGGACTGCTTTTAATTATATATAATATTTTATTTAATTATTCGTTTTTAATATTATATGTAATATGATAGATTTAAGACTCTTCATGTAAAATATATAAATTTATTTTTCAGTAACTAATAAATTTCATACCTTCATAAAACATTAAACACAGACAAAGCCATGGACAACAGTTAGTATATGTAATTTTTAATAATAAATTATATGAAACAAATTATCCTGATCTACGTATGTTGTAGAGAAGGTCAAACTTTCCTAACAAATATTTGTATTATTTATATCAACTTTCTAACTTTTGCGAGCTTTTTGAAAGCATTCAACGGCTATCAAGAGACGTAATTATCATTGAAAATGTTTGAATTCTACTGATTACTCACAAAACGCGGGCAAATTTTGAAATAAACACTATTTAAATGGAAATCACGTAGTGGTATAAAAGCTGGCAAACATTTAAATTAATTTTGATATTAATTGAAATCTGTACAGAATTTTATTTACAAAAACTTTTATAGTTACGACGAAGCCATTGGTATAATGCTATCGTTATATTAAAAATACGAGTCAAACTATTCATAGATTTTCCAATTTAAAAATTAATGTACAAAACAAAAGGTTTTTTCCACTAGTAATTTTTTTCTAAGTTTAAATTGAAAATTAATTTCCATTGTATTAGTTGAAAATAAATCTCTTAATAATGATGATTTAACGCATAAACCTTAATTACAGTATGCATGTAGTTTCAAAGTTTCGATCGAAATTAAATTTTGTTGGCATGTACCAAAATTTAATCTGTAAAGGTCGGGAAGTTATGAATGTTAACTAACCGAAATTAATGTAGTATTATATTTTAAATATATCAGTCGGTCGGTCACGAGCGTCGGTGGCTCAGGTTAAGCACTTGACATGCAATCTGCAGGTCCTGGGTTCGAATCCCGCCATGTACCAATGTGTTTTTCGATTTTTGATTTACATTTGTACATTTATCCGACGTTCTTACGGTGAGGAAAACATCGTGATGCAACCTGCATATATCTGAGTACAAATTCACAGATGTGTGAAGTCAACCAACGCACACTTGGCCAGCGTGGTTGACTAAGGCCTAATCACCCTTAACTTAGGGTAGGATCCGAGCCCCTCGGTGGGGACGTATAGTGAGCTGATTATGATGATGAAATATATCAGTTGTTATTATTTAAATCAAATTTATAACGAAATCTTTTGTTTATATTAAAAATATTATAAATGCGAATGTTTGGATTTGTATGGATCTTTGTTAGAAGGTATCCCCAGACTGGCTGCATGGATCTCGCTACAATTTGGCATGCATGTCGAACATAGTTTAGAAGAACACATAGGCTACTAAGTTTTTTTAATGCAACGTGAACGGATTTGCGGGAGACAGTTAGTTTATAATATAAACATAAACAGGAAAGAAAATTAATTAACAAGTTAGTGGACAAAAGTTACTCGTTACTGAATTCCTGTCTATACAAAAAGTATTACAAAAACAGTCGAGTAACAAAATAGGAAAAAGTTTTACAATGCAACGTTTCGTTGTAAACTCGGAGATAAAGTACTAAAAAGAGTTGATACTTTTAGTAATCCGGTGTACTAAGAGTTGGTCGAATATAAATTGGTCAAATATAAGTTGGTTGAATAATGATTGATCGAATAGTTGGTCGAAGTTGGTACTTTAGTTGGCCGAATATTTAGTACTATTATGGGAATGTATTTGAGTTTAGGCATTACTCAAACATAGCTTTGTATCGTTAATCTTTGAATAACATTTTGTATTTATAATAAGTAAAATCATTGTAGGGTAACACAACACAAGCTTAGGTAATCGGCTTCTTAACTCGTTAATCTTGTTTATAGTTTTAAAGCTTCTGTAAAGGCTCTTGAATGAACACATAAATTGCTATTATCTCGCTTTGTTTTGGTTGGGTAGGTTCTATCGTGAGTATAAGTCGGAATAAATTTTGTTACACATTCAACTTAGTGTTGTTTAATACTATATTTTGAGTTTCAAATACAATTAACGTTTGACTTTTCAAGAAAGATTTGTAATTTCTAATACTTATTAACTTTAATCTTATGTTTTCATCAATAGCCGGTAGTTATGAAGAATATCGTGTGAGAACAGTCATCGTAAATCGTTAGTGTCCTTTCTTTATAAGGTAAAGGCGAATGTTTAGATGTATGGATGGATGTTTGAGGGTATCTCCAGAACAGCTGCATGGATCTTGCTGAAATTTGGCGTAGTTATAGACCTTAGTCTGGAAGAATATAATGATACTTATTAAGATTTTTTTTAATTCCAGGTTAAACGGCGTCGCGGACGACAGCTAGTCTAATATAAGTACCATGGTTAAAGTAGTTCCCGGAACTAGATCACTTGTTTCGATGGAATAATTGGACCAAAAGCTGAAGTTGCTTTCAGTGTGCATTACCTCGACAGTAATTATCTAATCGACCAATATAATCGTTCTAATTGACTGAGCGTGTGATTAGAAAGTTTAGGGGATTACCGGCCTGAATGATCTGACAACGACGAAACAATGGTAAATTAATATGTTAATTTCGACTAACATTAAAATTTTAATTTAGATTAAACCTGAAATAAATTTATTACAACACTAGTTTATACCCGCAACTTCATCCGCGCGGAATTAAAAAAAAACTTCATTCGTTCGTAGCCTATGTGTTCTTCCAGGCTATGGTCTACATCTATGCCAAATTTCCGCGAAAGAGACACTTTCTAACAAACATCCATCCATCCAAACATTCGCATTTATAATATTAGTAAGAAGTAAGATATTAAATGTGTATAATTAATAATAAAATTTATTTGTTTTAATAACATAAATAATCTTGTAAAATGCTTGGTTTAAATCGAGTCACAGTGTTTTGTATTGATTTTTTCCAAAGATTTGAATAAAGTAGCAGTAACTCCTTTGCTTAATTTTTCACTAAATATGCTATATGTTATACGTAAATTTCAGTTGTCACCTGAATTCAAGATAATTTACGATTTACCGCAGAATTAAACCGTTATTTATCGGTACTAAATAAAATTTACAACACCGTGGTTACATGTAAATTATCGTTTTGTAACCATTTTACCTATACGTACGATATTATTTAATATCTTGAACGTATGTTTTAACTATAGTTATTTATATATGCAAAACGATAATAAAAATGAGATTCTTACTAGTATTACTAACTACGATTAGGGTTTCTGAACATCCTATATTTCAATGTAGTTGCAAGTACAGCGTTAGAATGAATACAATGATATTGCTCTCTTTTGGACTGCGATTGCGACCAGTTCTATTGTCCGAATTCTCATATTATGAATGTCGAAAAAGGTATTCAAAAAGCGGTCTAACAACTAAGATTTTTCTATTTTCCATTCTATTTTTCCTCGAAGAGGCAATTACCGCTTCACCGGTCGCGAGGTGGTCAGGCGCTGAAGACACTTAGCCTAACTTCGTTTAACAGTTACTAGGGTCAAATCTCAGCTTGGACTGTTGTTATTATTACCGGGTTGAGAGTTTAATAATTTAAATATACTCACGTTTATCAATGAAGCTAAATGTGCCAACGAATCCAGTCGCGTTGTTTTGTTTGGGCCCCGTGTGAAACTCCAACACCATTGCCTGTCCGGGCGAGTAGAGCGCAGACGGCACCTCAGATCTGCTGCCGCACAGCTCCCTCGCCCACGCCGATCTCTCGTTGATCGCACCAGGAGGACCAGGACCTTGCACTTCCCAGTACACTTTTAAGTAATCTCCACGAGCACAACTGAAACAACGTCATAATATTACATGAATATATCAATAAGTATTTTTAGACGATACAAAGTTTTAGTATACCAGCATCAATTACGTTCTATTACATTTTTTGAAACATAAAAAAATCATTTGGAAAAAAAATACCTTTTTTTAGTATGAAAATAATATACAGCATAGTACAATCGTTATATTTAACTCACATCTGGTACGACATTAAATCTTACTAATATTGTAATTAAATTATTGATGGATAGATAAATGTTTGTTAGAGACAGTATCTCTAAAACAGCTAAAAAGATCTCGATGAAATTTGGCATAGATGTAAAATATAGTCTGGTAGACCACATAGGCTACTAATTAAGTTGTTTTAAATTCAGCGCATGGAGTCGCGATCAGCTAACTTAACACAATATAATATGCCTTCAGAGTCCATGCTAGTTCAATTTAATATAGCAAAGTTATATTTCTAAAATGTTGTATTGACGTTAACACGATTACTTCTGTGGTGAAGGTAATCTCGGCGTCTGGGAAACGGCTAAAAGCGCAATATTTTAAAATGAACAAGCATTAGTGTCACGCGACGATGGTTTATTGAATGTCGAGTGCGAAAAGATGCTTTAGTGGCTTCATTCTATAAAATAATATCTTGAGTTCTCTTGAGCAATGTTTTACAAAGCGTTTATACGACGAAGTAGACTCATCGCCGGTGTCGTAAAATATTTTATATTCAGTAGGAATATAATTTGTCACATGTACCCTAATATCAAAATATACGTTATCTTATGAGTTATGTTAACGAAAAAATTATCCTTATATGGTTTACGGTTAGACCATAAAGAATATGGTCTATTGTGTTTCTGAGGCCAAAGGCTGTATATAAAACTTATCATCCCTGTATGTGATCTCAGAAACCCAACATAAATCTAATAAACTAATTGCCGTTTCATTTAAGTATAATACCGGGGGAATGCCGCCAGGCTCTTGGGAACCCTACCGTGTGACCGCAGCGATTTGGGGTCGATTTTTTATATTATTTAGTTTTATTTTTAGTTTGGTTTAGTTTTAGTATATATCGTTTATTTAATATAATATTAATTAATTTATTTATTTTGTAGTGGTTAGTTATTTAGTAAGAATATATTTTAATTTATAATTAGGTTTATGATATTCTTATAGGTAAATATGAATAAACTGTAATTAAAGCTTATTTTAGTATAACAGTTATTATAACAACGAACTCATTCACTAACATGCAAAGTTTTATAAAAATGTGATAGTATTATAGTTTTGTAAGCTGCCAGTGAAAATTATCGCAAAATAAAAAGAATTGAAAACCTATCAATGTGTTAAAAATTGTTAATATTTTATACCAACATTTAAATCAAAAGAAAAAGATACATATAATGTATTATTGTATTTTAGGAAGCTTCAAATAACAATTTAAATAAATTGATCAGTGAAATTGCTGTGAATCAAAAACGTAAAAGATTCTATCGTAAAAATTTATTCCATTTCAAATTAGATCACTTATTCAGTGTTATTACAATCGTAAAAGCGTTATTGGTAATTTGACAAGTCGTTGCGCGAAATCCAAATACGCCAAGAATATTGTCTCAAATCATTTTACTTTCACGCTCTCAGCAGGAAAATTTAAAATTTTATTACGTGCTTTATGAAATCTTTTACTTCTTACGATTTTAAGGTGGAAAACTTCGGTCTTTAAACACTAGTATTCTTACAGTAATAAAACTTTGCACTAAAAAGTTATGGCTCATAGTCACATATTCTTCTGTTAATGAAGTCATTTATTTCCATACAGACTAGAAATACAAAATAGAAATAAAATGTACAAAGTAAATACTAGTTGCAATCCTCCTAAGATCCTAAGTAAGCAAGTATCCTAAGATATAATCATCAGCTTACTATAAGTCCCCACTGAGGGGCTCGGAGCCTACCCTGAGTTAGGGGTAATTAGGCCATAGTCAACCACGCTGGCCAAGTGCGGGTTGGTTGACTTCACACGTATCTTTTAATTTCCTCTCAGATAAGTGCAGGTTGCATCACGATGTTTTCCTTCACCGTAAGAACGTCGGATATATGTGCATATGTAAATCGGAAATCGAAAAACACATTGGTACATGGCGGGATTCGAACCCAGGACATGCAGATTACTAGTCAAATGACTGACCCCTGAGCCACCGCTTTAAAGATTCATTAATTAGATTCATACATAGATTCATTAAATATTTTTAACTTTAAATTCTTCTATACATTATTTAATTAGCCATTATATTGAACTTTGTTAATTCGTTTCTCTAAAGAATCAAACATACACTTTCTAATCGTCAGTTATATTGTGTATAATGCCACAATGGACTTAAATTTTAAAAAAATATAGCAAACAGTTTCATTGATTTAGCTCTACCAAAATTTATAGCAAAATATAACCAATAAACGTTTCATTTCAAAATTAACACGCTAGTAAATTTACAATTTCCGAAGCGCAAAGTTTACAAGTGTGCGTGCGCTATCGTTTGTTATTAGACACGATTTGCGTGCATTGATATTATTCCACACACGGTATAAAAAAAGTTTTGTAGCTATTACACTATCGTTGAAAATCTACACTAAGACCCCGCACACTAGAGGCTTTAAGTCGTGCGATAGTTTGATCGTGCGTTTAATCAATATAAGCATGTATCAGATGCGCATATTACAACGATTACATGCTCATACTGGTTAAACGATAAAACTATCGAGCGACAAAAAGTCTCTAGTGTGCGAGGGCCCTAAATGTTAAAATAAATATCGAAATACCATTTTGTATAAAAGATAAGATGAGCCGTGTTGTAAAATAATAAAATGAGAAGGAAATATCTAATTTGTAAATCATGGAAATTTCTCTTACATCGAGAAAAAATGGAGCGTAATTTTATCACGACGAAATAAGCGTGAAATTGTGATCGAGGAGACACCTTTAAAAATCCCAGGAGACTATCATTTCTTTAAGATTAATCCGGATTTCGGATTTCGATAAAAGCAACCTGTCACCGCTAATGCGATTGATGGTCGAATTTGATTTGAGCTCGACATCCAGCCCACTCCAAGTTCTTAGGAAAAGCTTTTAAAAGTTATTGCTTACATTTTATTGTATTAAGAAATTTAGGGCTTTAGTGTAAAAAAAAAACATACTGACGAATTGAGAACGTTCTCCTTTTATAAATCGGTAAAAAATAGACAATTTTTCAAATACGTTTTAGCTTAACCATACGTAAACCTTTTATTACCATGACTACAACACCAAGAGCGAACTTTTGACAACTCATGGCTATCGAAAACATTATTATGCATAGGCTTTCAAAATGAATTCTTGACCAATAAATAATGAAATACGTATACCGAAAATAGTATAGTGATTTATGGTGAAACATAAATATAACCACTTTGACCATCATCACCAACATCACCGACGTTCAAAAGGTTAAACATGTGCTTAAGTAACCATTGCCTAAATATGTTTTTTTAGTAATACGGTAAGTTTTTTAGTACTTTAATAATCATTTGATATATTTTACCAATGTTTTTTTTGTGACTGAGTAATCACTGTTTGCCATGAAGAGGCATTTACAGCTTCACCGGGTTGGAGATGGCTGAGCGCAGATGGCGCTTACCCTGTACCTCGTTTAAAAGACCAATGGTTGTATAACAAGCAAAAATTTCCAACCTTGAAATTCAAGTACCTAGTAAATAAAGATTAAATTACTTCGTTAAGTTACATAATGTATGTGTCCGAATACCTCTTTCTTTATCGTTGGATTTTAAATCATTTAAATAGGTTGAAATATACAAATTAAATGGGTCATATGTAATAAAATACACACGCACTTGAAGTAACCATAAAAAGTTTCAATTGCGAGTGCAATTAATTATATGAATTATTCATAATGAGTATTTAATGACCGTGTAATTTCCATTAAGCCCTAACAAATATTATTTGCTCTTATTTAATTAATATTTAAAAGCTGCTATTCCTGTTTTATATTATACTTGCTGTCGCCCGCGACTCCGTCCGCGTGGATATATAAAAAACTTAATTAGTGTAGCCTATGTGTTTAGACTATGTTCTACACATATGCCAAATTTAATCGAGATCCGTTCAGCCGTTCTAGAGATATCTTCAAACACCCATCATCTATCCACATCACATCCATAAAAACATTTGCAATTATAATATTAGTAAGTTAAATAAAAAGCAGCTCTTTAAGGCATAGATTCGGAAAAAAAATGAATAAATAGTATTCTATGTCCGTCTCCTGGCTGTAAGCTACCTTCTCACCAATTTCAGCCAAAACCAGATATCACTAATTTATTTTCTCTTGCCACAACCTTCCACTTCAACAGCTCGATGACTGAATGTTCAACCGACCTCCTTCTACTTTCCACCTCTCGATAATTTTCTGTCCCTCTCCCTGGCAACTCAAAGTGTTGCTGGTGCAATTAACGAACCATAATATTAGGGAACCCTAACATTACGTTATAAGAAACAGTGATTCAACAAAACAATACAATGTTAAAACGTATTCTACAAATTGAGACATCGAAATGTATACAGGAAAAAACTAAAAAAAATACTTTTGTCTATTACACAGGTAAAAAAAGTTGTTTCTAATGATAAAAGCATTGTAACACGTAGATTGGATACCCTTGTAACCGAGATTCCATTTATAAAGTACCAACATCAAGAAATTGAAGTTTGTTCCTATCGCGAACGATTGTTTGCAGTCAATGCATATTAATGAGTAGCGTAGTCACAAAGTCACTGTTCAGCCGTGCTATTGGAATTCCTAGGTTATATAACCAACTCCCACCGCCAAATGAAGATAGGATAAGCTGTTTTTGGAAGATTTACTTACAAGTCAAACTTTAGTATCAAAGTCCTAACATTGTGATAAATTACGATAGTTTTGCAACGGGTAGACAGGAAAAAAAAACAAAAGTGTTTGCACATGA